CCTCGTGCGAGACTACGCTTCACTCGACTCCATTGGCCCTCCACAGCACCGGAACTGAGGGACTTCCGAACGTTGCCCGCGCGGGTAGCATTCCTTTCGCTGCAAGGTTGCGCGACCATGACGACCGTGCGAGCTCCACCGATATTTTCTCGCATCGTCCCGATCGAAGCCTTTTAACTCCCCCCCATCCGCCCGCCCTCTTGTCCTTCCTCACACATCACTACCATGGCTTCTGCTCTACGACTGTCGAGCGCTCTCCGCGCCGCCGCCCCTCTGCGGACCACAGCCTTCAATGGCCTCCGCTGCTACTCCACCGGCAAGACTCAGGTATGCCACTTCTCTCTCGAGAGGCCAAGACACGCGCTAACCAGGCCAATTGCAGTCGCTGAAGGAGACCTTCGCCAACAAGCTGCCCGGCGAGATCGAGAAGATCAAGAAGCTCCGCAAGTACGTGCTGCCGGCCCCGCGCCCACCCCAGTGCACCGCTGACATCATATCCCAGGGAGCACGGCAACACTGTTGTCGGCGAGGTCACTCTCGACCAGGTCTACGGTGGTGCCCGTGGCATCAAGTCGCTCGTCTGGGAGGGATCCGTCCTCGACTCTGAGGAGGGTATCCGTTTCCGCGGCAAGACCATCCCCGAATGCCAGGAGCTCCTCCCCAAGGCCCCCGGCGGCCAGGAGCCTCTCCCCGAAGGTCTCTTCTGGCTCCTCCTCACCGGCGAGGTCCCCTCCGAGCAGCAGGTCCGCGACCTCTCCGCTGAGTGGGCTGCCCGCTCCGACGTCCCCAAGTTCGTCGAAGAGCTCATCGACCGCTGCCCCAGCGACCTCCACCCCATGGCCCAGTTCTCTCTCGCCGTCACTGCTCTCGAGCACGAGTCCAACTTCGCCAAGGCCTACGCCAAGGGCATGCACAAGTCGCAGTACTGGGAGCACACCTTTGAGGACGCCATGGACCTCATCGCGAAGCTCCCCACCCTCGCCGCCAAGATCTACCGCAACATCTACAAGGACGGCAAGGTTGCTCCCATCCAGAAGGACAAGGACTACTCCTTCAACTTGGCCAACCAGCTCGGTTTCTCCGAGAACAAGGACTTCGTTGAGCTGATGCGCCTGTACCTCACCATCCACACCGACCACGAGGGTGGAAACGTCAGCGCCCACACCACCCACTTGGTTGGTTCCGCTCTCAGCTCTCCCTACCTGTCCCTGGCTGCTGGTCTGAACGGTCTTGCTGGTCCTCTCCACGGACTGGCCAACCAGGAAGTCCTTGTCTGGCTCCAGAAGATGAAGAAGGCTATTGGCAACGACCTCAGCGACCAGGCCATCAAGGACTACCTGTGGTCCACCCTCAAGGCTGGCCAAGTCGTTCCCGGTTACGGCCACGCCGTCCTCCGCAAGACCGACCCCCGCTACGTTTCCCAGCGCGAGTTCGCCCAGAAGCACCTTCCCGACGACCCAATGTTCAAGCTCGTCAGCCAGGTCTACAAGATTGCCCCCGGTGTTCTCACCGAGCACGGCAAGACCAAGAACCCCTACCCCAACGTCGACGCCCACTCCGGTGTTCTCCTCCAGTACTACGGTCTCACTGAGCAGAACTACTACACCGTCCTCTTCGGTGTATCCCGTGCGCTCGGTGTCCTTCCCCAGCTCATCATTGACCGTGCCGTCGGTGCCCCCATCGAGAGGCCCAAGTCTTTCAGCACTGAGGCTTACGCCAAGTTGGTTGGTGCTAAGTTGTAAGCGCGTTACTGCAACGTGCTCTACGGCCAGGAGAATGTGGAGGAATTTGTTTAACATTCAGAGATACCTTGTCCTGTGTAGAATTGCAATGTAAGGATAGGGAATGGGAGCGTTACGGCGCTACATCACTACATTTTAGTGAACGAATTGCTGTATTCTCACGTCTTGATGATCAGAAATCTACGCTCCATGAAGTTCATACTATGTGTCTGTTGCGATGAAACCGTGGTGAGTGCCTTCGGGTCATTTTCAGGTGTATGAGATTGGCCCAATCGCATCGGCGCAAAAAGCAACGAACGGTGAGATAAGTAACCGGGATATTCGGAGCGTGGGTAGCTTTCGTTGAGCGATGGGGAACCGATGCGGATCGTTGAGCTCTCCAGTGCGACCCGACGCCAATCCGACCCAACAATTCGCTGTTCAGGTGGTGTACTACATAGCTGTACATGGAATGGCAAAAGCAAACACGAGCATACTTGTAATAGAGAAAGTGAGTTTCGGAGAGTACTTGGAGGCAAAAGCAATGCGAGACCCCTCGCCCGGTACATGGCCGCGGATGGGAAGCAGCTGCGGGACATGGCCCTTCCGCCAAGTGGCCGATAGCCTCAGGGACAACCCCAATTATAGCGCGCCCGGACGGCGGTCAACCAGCAACACAGACCACCTCGCAAGCTTATACCGTTTTTCTATGCATCCCTTTCCTCGCTTTGCTCACACACTTGATACTACTCACATTTGCGACGGAGCACCCTTTTGCCTTGGTCAGGCCGCATATCTTCGACAAGAGAATCCCAGAGAATGAGCTCCACACCTGCGACGGGCGTCCCCAGCATGGCGAGGAACGGCCCGCCATCGCTCGAGAAGAAGCCGGTCAAGTTTAGCAATCTGTTGCGTGAGTTTGCGTGCTGATAGAGAGTGGGAATGTGTGCTGACTGTAGGCGCAGTTGGTGCTGGTCTCAACATGTTTGAGTAAGTAAACATCCCACTTCAACACCAAGATAGCAATTGAAGCTGACTGAAGATGACAGAGTGACAACTCTGGGACAGGTACGCAATTTCAGGCAACAAACTTCGCCGGAAGCACACTAACGACCGATGATAGCCGTTGGAGGTCGTCAAGACTACCATGGCTGCCAACAGGTCTGAAGGCTTCTCGGGAGCCATTGGTCGCATCTGGGCGCGTGGAGGTGTTCTTGGATGTCAGTATGCATTCCACGGCTTCCAGACAATCCCACTAACAATCGTACAGTCTACCAGGGTCTCATTCCATGGGCCTGGATCGAAGCCTCCACCAAAGGAGCCGTCCTTCTCTTCGTCGCTTCCGAAGCCGAATACTACGCCAAGTCATTCGGCGCCCCCGACTTCCTCGCCGGTATCTCTGGTGGTATGACGGGTGGTCTCGCTCAAGCCTATGCCACCATGGGTTTCTGCACTTGCATGAAGACGGTCGAGATTACAAAGCACAAGGTCGCAGCCACCGGTGCGAAGCCTCCGGGCACGCTCGAGACATTCATGGGCATCTGGCGCGCGGAAGGTCTCCGCGGTATCAACCGTGGTGTCAACGCCGTCGCGGTGCGCCAGGTCACCAACTGGGGATCCCGTTTCGGTCTGTCTCGCGTTGCGGAAACCGGTATTCGCAAGGTTATGGACAAGCAGCACGGCGAGAAGCTCAGCGTGATTGAGAAGATCACCGCTTCAGCTCTCGGTGGTGGTTTGAGCGCGTGGAACCAGCCTATTGAGGTTATCCGCGTGGAGCTTCAGTCCAAGACTGTTGACCCCAACCGCCCCAAGAACCTGAATGTTGCATCTGCGTTCAAGTACATCTACTCGAACAACGGTATCAAGGGTCTATACCGTGGCGTTACTCCTAGAATCGGTCTTGGCGTTTGGCAGACGGTCTGCATGGTTGCTCTGGGCGATGTGTAAGTTTTGACGATACCGCCCGATAAACCTCCGCTAACAAATTTCTAGTGCCAAGGAGGCTGTTGAGAAGCTCACTGGTGACAAGGTCACCGCAAAGCATTAGACGGCGTTCGGATACTGGATCTAACGGGGTTGATGTTCTATGAAAGATCTATGCAAGAGGTCTGGCATCGGCCGTGGTTTTGGGACGAGAAAGCATGACGAGTGACATATATAACTATGATGTTCATAGCGCTATAAGATTATAATACCGAACAGGCTGAAAGTCTCGTGACATTGAGGCCTCTTTTCCACCGCTGGTCTCTTACCACGAACTGCGTGTTGAGTTTAACCCGTTTTCCGTGACCGACTTATTTTCCGTGCCCGCTTCTTCTTATACTTGAGCAGTCAACTTATACGAGGCGAAAAATAAACACCCCAGAGTCTACATTAAGACAAAAACATGCAAAGTAGGTGTCCCCACGACAACGTAGGCTCTAGGGTGTTTTTCCCTTGTATGAGGTACAGTGGTGAATGCACTAGCACGTGGTACACGTCCAGCCGCGGGCCGTACCTACCTTGGTAGGATGGCGCTAGCTCACGTCACAACCAACCACCACAAGCTCTCTCTCTCGCCCACCACACGACACAAACTTCGCATTTTGAATACCGCCTTTGGAGCAAGAATGCGGTATCTACCATGTCACCACATATCGCCTGTATACCAACGGGTGATCATCGCGGAGAAAAACGGGTGAGTTACTTGTATCCTTAAACACGGCCTACTGGGTTGCTGGGAGCACGACAAGAGCTTGAAGTGGCCTCAAAGCGCAACAAACAGTCACACACTTCATATTCAGAATCTGCCGATTCATTGATAATCAAATCTCTGATTTTGCCGCTGACCCAGGGTAGTTCGCCGATGGAGACGCGCCTCCAGATTTGCGAGATTGGCGTTGCGACTTGACGGGCCTTTCGCATCAACATAATCTCTACTTTCTTGCCTCTGTCGATGAGCTTCATGTCTATCAACCAAGCTTTCCAGACCAAGGTTTATCTGATAAACCTGAGCTTGTGTTACATCCGCCAAAATCTGGCACTCGTGGGTATGGAATTGACCCGTCGAACCCTCACTCTATCTGTCGCATCTTGGTCGATTATGTCGGCAACGAGGAGATGCTTATGCTGGCCTGCGATGATGGGGACGTTATTATATATCGAACTCGAGAGATACACCGAGCGTTGGAACGGCGCACCAACGTGCAGGAGCCTGCTGACGAGGACGGTGTCCATGTGTTTCTCCACTGCAATGTCGGTAGAAGTGCATGGGGCTTGGCTGTACAGCGCAAGACTCGTATGATCGCGATTAGTGCGGTATGACAACCTTGATTTCTCACACGCTCTACTCCTCTAACCTCAACAGAACACTCATCAGATAACGATAGTCGCATTCGCGCTCGCTTCCGATAGCGAATTGGAAGCCCCAGACCACGGTACCAACCCTAGTTTCCCATACAGCAGAAGAGAAGACAGTATCTTTACCCTTCAAGCGACAAACAATGTTCCCGCAGTATCATTCTACGGTGACTCCGGTCGCTGGCTTCTGAGCAGCTGCATTGATGGCAAGACATCGATGTGGGATTTGTACACCAAGAAAGAGGTGGCTACATTCCAGTTAGGCTGGTGCGCTAGCGCAAGCGATCTCTCGAAGCCGCCTCGTTACATATCTCACAGATTCCTGTGCGACTGTCCGGGCGCGCAAAATGTTCTCCACGGGGCATGGGGTACTATAGCGCTGGACACGCGATCCGCATACGAGTTACCGTTAGACGAAGGCATGACTGCGAGTTCGACATGTAGCTCGAGCGACTTCCTAGATATCTCCGACCAGAAGAAACGGTTCAAAGTTTCCGAAACCACCTCTCATCAATACCATCCCGACACAGACGACGAAGAGGACAGTACAGATGACGAAGAAATCGAAGTAGTCAGTGAAGCGAACGAGACAGACAACGACGAAGAAGATATTGATCCGAATCACCAGCTTCTCGGGATGACGTTTGAGGAGTTGGCTCAATCTGTAAGTGCAATCTCTTGTCGGCTGCATCCAATCAGGACGTAGTTAGAAGGTTTAGCCACCTCATACAAGAAAAACTGAACAGGTGCTTTGCCATCTACATTAGTATAAAAGCCAAGATGTAACACGATCTCAAGGCAATGTAGTTGGCAAAGCACCTGTTTACATTTTTCTTTGTATTCATGTTGAAAACTAAAGACGCGTTAGGTGACTAACACACAGCGCAGTTTGGTATAAGTGAGACGCTATTGTCTTCCATTCGACCCGGAACATTGCGCAGCCCTAACAGAGCGCCGTATCGCCTGATTGATGACTTAAGGCCTATCGCAGAACAGATGGGTGGCCCATTCTTAATCTTCACCAAAGAGGACATATTCCTTATCCAAGGCCTTTCCGCAACATCACTCAATGTACCTCTGTATCCCATCGTCGCGATAAGACGACCGCTGCATCCAGGCCGATGGGTAGACTCGCTCATGTCTTGCGACCGACACTGCTTCTTCTCCCAGATACCCGAGCTGGGCATCTTCATAGTCGGATCTCCGGCCGGTCGTGTCGGCGTCTTCAGTCTGTACTATACTAGAGACAAGAACACTGGGGAGCCGCGGTATGGCTTCAAACTTGAATACCTTCTGCCGTTCCGGTCAGGTAATGAGACAGAGATAGCAGGAGGGCCGAATGAACGGCTGCTTGGTGTGGCTGTAGCGCCTGTACAAGGTAGGATGACGATGAATACTTCCGTGTGTATCGTAGGGCTCACAGGTATACAGGCATGTTCGACCCTTCAGAAGATATCGAAGTACCTGATCAAGAGGGGTTCACTAAGCCTCGCCGATGGCGCTTATTGATGTACTACATGGATCATACTGTATTGAGCTTTGAGTTATCGAAGCGGACGGTGGGTGAGTCGCCAAGCTTGGATGATATGGTCGTTTAGTACCCCAACCTAGGAAAAATCTAAACAGGTCTGCAGCCTACATTGATATAAAAACACGCAATATAGGTGACCTGAGGTCGATGTAGACTCCTGGCCTGTTCGGATTCTTGCTTGTTTGGGATGCTGGTATCGAATTCATGAGCACATGCTACGTACTTTCCCGCTGGGTATCATCCGATGCCCTCGTTGTGGGGCCAAATTAAAATCATGGTATTTCGCTGGAATGACGCGCCTAGCTAATTATACCCAAAGTCATCAACATGACGTTTAACACGCCGTTCAACTGATGAGTTTCTCGGCAGTAAGCCCACTACTCTCCCAGCCTCAAATTCACTTCCAGCACCCTTCTCTTCGCCCTCACCTCCAATCTCTCCGTAGCGAAATCCTTGCTTTCCTCATCGTCGTCCGTCTCATCAGCTTCAGTCTGCTCAATCGTGCTCTTCAGTTTGTCCGCCGTCACGCCATCAGCTGGTACACCTTTCTTAAGTAACTTCTTCACATTCTCCTTGATGCGTACATCATTCATGCAAAGATACAACGTCTCGAGGTGCGCAAAGGGGCGTAGGTAAGGACCGATGAGCGCATACGAGTCCAGACCCGAGTACGAGATGACGAGGCGTTGGATACGAGAAAGACTGGCCTGTGGCAGGATAGAAGACAGTGTTTGCAGACGAAGCGTCTCAGTGGTATTGCAAGCAGCTGTGAATCTCGCACTCAACCATATGATATCCCTGTCAAAGTTGAAGTAGAACTTCTTCTCATTTTCTTCTCCGCCGATCTTCCGGCCGTGAAAGGAGAATAATGCGGTAAAGTTCTCCGATGTGAAATTAACGAGTTCTCCACCTTCATGTGCGATACTGAAGTTTCTGGCTTCTTGGTTGGTGGAGAAGAGCGGTGGGAGTGGCGGTATGTAGCGGATGCGCGGGATGTGGTCGATGGTGTTGTAGGTGTGGAGTTCGAGGAAACGGGTTCGCGGGGCGGGAGCGGCGTAGGACCAGATCAGTGCGCGGAGAGCGGGAGGGAGGCCGGTGAATGTTGGGGTAGTGGGAGAATTTTGGGTTGTAGTCTTGATAGGGTTGGGGTTGATGTGGAGGTTTACAGTGTCGGTGTCGTTATACTGATCAGACTGGGTGTTGGGAGGCGGTACTGGTGGACTGTTGATGTCGACGCCGCTGTCTTGTGGAGCGTCTTCGCTATCAATTGACATGGCGCACGAGCTTAGGCTGCCAAAGCTTTGACCGGGGGAGTCGGTTGTCATGATAGAATCTTCGAATGGCTCTTTCTTCTTCTTAATGTTCATCATAGTCCCGAAGGATCTCTTCAGCGATTCAAGCGCCATCCTTCGCGGTTAAGATCACAATGTTTGTTGAGTGTTGTGCTTGTGTGTTGGAGCGGTATCAGAACTGGAAGGCTGTAGGCAGCCAACGGCAGAGCTGTTTGCGTCGGTGTCGCGGAGCCAGGTGAGCGTTTGTCCAAGTTGCGGAGATAGTACGCGAGGCAGCAAACGCATCGGTAACAGCATGTGACTCCAGGGCTTAGGTCGTTATTATAAGCGCATATTACTGGTTTTGTGCCTCTTCTTCATATTCACCTGTGGTGCTGAGTATGCTATAAACGTTAGCCCGAATGTATCCGAGTCGATGTCGGTTCCTTGACTTACTCGAAAGCTGCTATCAGATCATCGCCATCGTACCTACTGACGGTTCTCGGCTGTTTCCAAGGCATTTCATTCGACCTTTTGGCGGCTAGATACTTGTTTGGTGGAGCCATTGGTGTAACGAACAGTTTCACTCCCTCGTAAAGCGACCCATGCACTTTGGCAATGAACTCGTCGAGCGCGTCTTGTGTTAGAAACGATACCCACCATATCCTTTTTCTGACTCTTGCCAAGTTTACATCAATCGCATCGAGACCCACAGCAAGTAACCCATGATGGGGAGCGCAGAAATCCGCTAAACCGTTTGGTGTTTGCAAAGGCAGTTTACTTCCATCCCACGCGGTAATACGCGCATTTCGTTTCCCACTAAATTCATCATACTTCTTGTGTGGGAGACGTGATAAGCGGCAAATGCTTGGTTTGGGTAGGTCATGCAAAACCCTTCCAGAAAAGAGTGCGGAAAGAACAGCCAGAAATTTGACGGCATCGCCAGCGGCCCCATGTTTCTGATGCCTGGAGCGCCATCCAGTTATTCTCAGAGCTTTCATGACTCGATCTAGACTGGGCTGATGATATCGAGGAAGTGATTTGTCGGGTTCGGCGGTCATGCTCTTGTAGGAATCGGCGACAAGCTCTTGTATATCGCACCAAGAAGTGAATAGTGCTGCGATGGCCGGATACTCATCGCTGATCCATTTGAATTCCCTCTGCATGCCAAAACCAACCAATATAAGTTCGCCTGGGAAGGAGGACAAGAACTTGTACAGTCTTGCGCCAGCAGTCTCCTTAGTCTCGTCGGTCATGGTTCCAACAACAGGCCCGTATCGCCGTTCTTGAATGCGAATGGTAAATGCCTCGATCTCGTTCTGATTGTAGAAGTGATACATAGACGAGAAGAAGCGAAGTGGCTTTAGACTAGGTCGTAGTACCGCAACTCCAAGCTCACTCGCCTCTGAACCACGCTGGTTGACTCCTTCTGTATCGAATGCTACCACCGTGGCTTCAGCAAGTCGGTCTTGAATGCTAGCAAGGCCTCGAAGTTCCGACTTGAGCAGTGGCTGCACATCGCAATTCTTGACGAAGCCATAAATACCCTGTCTGTTGGGCTTCATCTTGTATTGTAGACACGGGTTGTTTTCGGGCAGAGGGAATTATCGAGATGTAAGTCCAAAAGATGGATGAGTAATGTTTGGAGATGGCTGTGGGCAGGATATAGAATGATATAGTGTAGGTTTTGTTGCGACGGTGGTACCATGGTTGGGCGTGGCTGACTGAGACCAACAGGACGGCCTCTACAGGGCGACCAAAATTTCTTGTCGGAGCGACATTTCATTCTTCCACAATGACTTCCGACTTCCAAAAGACCCACGCGAAGACAGCCAGGAGCTTCAGCCCACAAGCAGTCCACAAGGCACCTGCAAGACCTACACTGCTGTGAGCGTACAATCCGCCAATGCAGGCTCCCAACAGCAGCATAGCGGGTGCAGCGATCCTCCTGTTGCGCTCCACGTTCGAAATCTTGAACAGCTGAGGGTCAGAAAAGAGATCGCAGTAGTTGCTCGTGAGCACGACACTGGTCAGACCGTTGTACTTCAGGGCGCGCGACGTGACTGCCTGGCCACTGGATTGGAAAGCGACTGAAGCTAGCGGAACAATCATTTGCCAATGCAGGCCTTCCTTAGTATCCTTGCCGACGGTAGCGATCAATGCAGCGACAGCAATGAGTAGCATCTGGAACGTGTAGGATACGATAAGCACCCATCTCTTGGCAGGTGAGAAGTAGCGATGAAAGCGCGCGAAGCAGAACGAGCCAGCACAGAACGCGACAATGGACGTCAATGCCTTGATCCAACGGATGCCTTCAGAAGGTGCGACAATGCCCAAGCCAAGATACACGGTGTTACCTGTATGTTGAGTAAGCTTCTAGTCCAAGAGAGATGGCGCGTCTTACTCACCCGTCTGCATGCTCACGAAAGAGCCCCATATGAAGACAGCTGAGCTGTCCAATAGCCCAGTAACAATGTAGCAATACAGCAAAACAAGGTCTGCCCAGTTCTTGTTAACATCGGCATTCATGTGCCGTTTGAGCCGCTGCATAGTCCCCTTGCTGTCCGATTTTCCGCCGGCTGGTCCATTTCGGCCGAGAAGCGGCGTTTCCTCGTCTGCGCCGCTGCGTGTGGCGTCTCTGCGCGTTACGCTGCTCATGGTAGCACGCGTGGGAGGAGATCGTGTAGTCGTATATTGTGAGGGCTGCGAGGACCGGTAGTTATGTCAGTTGGGGCGGGGTGCAGACAATCGCGTCAGCAGAACCGGGAAGACGCGAGCCAGCGTGCAGATCGACAGGCACTTCGACTCAAGCTTCAGTTAAGCTTTCGACGCCCGCTGCGGCAATTGCAGGATATCTCAGGACGTGTGGCTTGAAGACCTTCCTGATGTGGCTGTACACGTACAAGCAATGCGTCTGATGTGCGGGGAAACGGTTTTGGTGGGTATGGTGCGTGGAAAAATGGTGATTGATGCGCGGAGATGGCGTGGGAGTGGATGGTTGATTGCTTAGTGTCAAGCAAGCATCATAAATAATCATGGCTAGAACTGTCGTCATCGGCACACGGCATTGCAGGACGCGCAATGCACGCGGCATGTCAAAAGGGCGTCGTCTGCCGGGTGAATAAACTTTCGATTTCGCGATCCTCTTCAGCTTCTTCACTTGAGGTCAATTGAAGCCGTCATGCATCTTCCGTCGTTACTGGTCGCGCTTGGCGTATGTGGTGCCGTAGCTGCGCCATTGGAGCAACAACAACCGCTCGCTGGCAGTGCGCGACACCACGCAGGACCTAACAAAGTCTTCAACCCGTACAAGCCTGGCAACAATGATCCATTTGACAAGAAGATTGATTCACAAGGCGACAAGCTTCAGCCACTGCCCTACGTGAGTCCATCATTGAGATCATTCCTCCGCGGAACGACGAATATCTAGCTCGATGATGGACAACATGCTAACAAAGTTTCCAGCGCAATGGTGACGGAGCGAGTGTTCTTGGGCCTCGCAACCGAGCGCGCGAACGACAAAACCCAGATCTCGTCCGCCCACCCAGCACCGACCATGGCGCGATCCCCAACATGCGATGGTCCTTTGCCGACTCGCATATTCGTATCGAGGAGGGTGGCTGGACGCGCGAGACGACTGTTCGCGAGCTGGGTACTAGCAAGGAGCTAGCCGGTGTGAACATGCGTCTTGAGGAAGGCGTCATTCGTGAACTCCACTGGCACAAGGAAGCCGAATGGGCATATGTCCTCGAAGGCAAGGTCCGCATCACCGCTCTCGATCCTGAAGGTGGCTCTT